CTCTCCCTCTCCCTCTCCCTCTCTCTCTTTCTCCCTCTCTCCCTCTCTCAATAAATGACAAACACATTCAAGTTTGTATTATTTAGGGAAGTCTCTTTTCTCTTTTGAAACTGTTTTCAGGTTTCTCTTTTTTTGGGGGGGGGGGGAAATAGAACATAGAATCATAGGGCTGAGAGGGACCTTAGAGGTCTTCTAGATCAACCCTTTCCTCAAAGCAGTCTCTCTTTTTAGAGAGACAGGATCATACCAAGTCAAATTTTCTGGTTTTGCTGGATCAGCTGCCTATTATAGGACATGATATTTGACCCAGGCCAGAGTGGGTTTAAAATGGACTCCAGGTATGTGTTCCTACAACTCTTCCATCGGTTAAGATATTCTTCCCAGATTTTTAATTAATTAATAATTTGATTGAAAACATTTTAATTTCCTCATTAGAACTGGATAAGGTATTCTGAACACCTACACTTCTGGATGTCCACGAGCATTTTGTGTATACATACATAGGTATACATGGACAAATTCTGATGGTTAAGAGGTAAAATAGAATCCGTTTAAAATGCAGGAGGGAGAGAGAGAAAAAAATTCCTTCTTTCTTTTACTTTCTATAGTGTTTCCAGCTTCTCTTTAAAATGTACGGGCACACAAATAAGCAATTAGCCTGGGTCAAATCTCCAATTTTTCTCATTCTTCGTGAACAAGGGAAAACTTTTACCCTCTTGCCCAGCAGTCTAAATTCCACTCTAGTGTTTCTCTAGACTAGCAATTTATATTCCCACTTCGTTTTTAACCCCTGCAACTTCTCACTTTACACTCTAGACAGGTGAACGTGGCATTGCACCACCTTGACCGATGGAAACGTTTCATAAACCTGTCTGTTTTAAATAAATAATTATGGCCTGCTTGGCAACCTGTGTGCATGAGAGAAAAACGGCAGGGCAAAACCTCCATATGCAGAACTGAAAATAAAAGTTAAAAGCAATGAGAAAACCATTACCAAGGCTGTGTGCAACAAACTCACACCATAAATGACCTAGATAATGGGTTCATCTTACATCCTGTCTCAGTTCTTGGGGCAAATCTAGGTCTCCGTGGCCTTTCAGAAGGCCAAGAGGATTGGGGCCCTCCAGATATCAGAGGAAAGATTGTTCCATAGGTCACATTCCCCCAACGGAGGGGGCATATCTCCTGAGTTCCTCTTAAAGACATTATTTCATACAAAGGACATGCCCCCGCCCTGCCAAATTATTTTGAATCAAGGGTCTTTCCTTCTTTCTTTCTTTCTTTCTTTCTTTCTTTCTTTCTTTCTTTCTTTCTTTCTTTCTTTCTTTCTTTCTCTTTCTTTCTTTTCTTTCTTTCTTTCTTTTCTTCTTTCTTTCTTTTTTTCCTTTCTTCTTTCTTTCTTTCTTTCTGATAGTGAATCTTCTTTACAGAGTAACAGAATTGGATGGGAACTTGGAGGTCTTCTAGTCCAACCCCCTGCTCAAGCAGAAGCCCCTATACCATACCGGACAAATGACTGGCCAGTCTCTTCTTGAAAACCTCCAGCTGTTCCACTGATTAATTGTTCTAACTGTCAGGAAATTTCTTGACAAAAGCAAATCCCTGCCACCACAGGACTGCACCATCCATGGAGAAACAAAATAAAAAAAATAATGGAAGGGACCTTGGAGGTAGAAGAGAATAGAATAACAGAATTGGAAGGGACTTTGGAGGTCTTCTAGTCCAACCCCCCGCTTAGGCAGGAAAGCATTTCAGACAAATGGTTGTGCAATCTCTTCTTAAAAACTTCCAGTGTTGGAGCATTCACAACTTCTGGAGGCAAGTCGTTCCATTCATTAATTGTTCTAACTGTCAGGAAATTTCTCCTTAGTTCTAAGTTGCTTCTCTCCCTGGTTAGTTTCCACCAGTTGCTTCTTGTCCTGCCTTCAGGTGCTTTGGAGAATAGCTTGAGTAGCTCTTTTAATCTAACCAGGAAATTCTATACCATTTCAGACGAATGACTCTCCAACCTCTTCTTAAAAACCTCCAGGGATGGATTGCTGGAGAACATCTCCTCTCTCTCTATTACGAAGGCTTGAAGAGAATTCTTTATTTTTTTTTTCAGCAGAGGCATTGAGGGGGGAGCAACCAACTGCCGATCCTTATGCTCAGAATTGAAACTGCCCCAACATTGCTACCTTGGAAGCAATGCAAAACGAGACGAACAGGAGCGCCTCTGGCTAACTGGCTCACAGGCCGGTTCTCCTGACAAGAAGGGGTGCCAAAAGGCTCGGGGAAACTCTCTTGCAGTACAGTGCTGAACTAGTTCACGGCAAGAAGCTGGAGGGGTCCCTTTTCATTTCCATTTTCAAGCAAGCTGGTTTGAGGCCAATTTCTCGAGTTCACGCGCACGGATGGAGAATGGGGTGCTTTTAGGGGATGGCCTGCCCCAAATCTTGTAGAGAGGTTCATGACCAGAAGATGCCTTACAAATAATGTATGACAATCCGTGCAGAAATGCACTGGGGAGAAAGCATACTGGGAACACCGATTGTTTAGGCAAAAATGAGCTTAGCTGAAAGCTTAGATTTATACATACATACATACATACATACATACATACATACATGAGATAATCTTTATATGTTTATAAAGCTATAGGTAATGGAATACATGGGAGAGCGATGTAATTGGAAATGAATTGATTTGCCTGTCTGTTGTTTTTTAAAGGATCAAAATCCATATTCTTCAGTAAGAGGCATCTCAAGGTAACCTCTTGAGTCAAAGAGATTGGATGTGGTCTGCGGTTCTCCCCCACCCAGGAAACTAGCTCTGTTTTTCCAAAGAAAGTAGTATGGGGGGAGGAGGAGGAAGAGGAAGAAGGAATAAAGATGGAAGAGGAAGAAGAGGAGAAGGAGGAGGAGGAGGAAGAAATGTAGATGGAAGAGGAAGAAGAGGAGGAGGAGGAGGAGAGGAGGAAGAGGAGGAGAAGAAAAAGAAGAAGAGGAGGAGGAGGAAGAAGAAATGTAGACGGAAGAGGAAGAAGAGAAGGAGGAGAAGAAAAAGAAGAAAAAGAGGAGGAGGAGGAAGAGGAAGAAATGTAGACGGAAGAGGAAGAAGAGGAGAAGAAAAAGAAGAAATGTAGATGGAAAAGGAAGAAGGGGAGAAGGAGAAGGGGGAAAAAAGGAGAACGAGAACAAGAACAAGGATATTTCCTTTGTAATGAAGGAGGAGAAACAGGAGAAATAATTTCTAAAGGTGGGTTCCAAAGAAGAGGACAAACAGCGAGACACTTACATTGGGTCTGAATTAACCGGATGGAGGACAACTTGAGGTGGTCTGGGGGGCACCTCAGGCACAACATCTGAAAAGCAAAGGAAATCCTGTTCAGAAACACGAGTGATGGGATGCTCTAATCAGAAGGATCCTCAAGAAGGTGTTCGAACAATCAGCGAAATTCTGGGGTGCTGTTTTTTTCCCCTCACAAGCCAATCATAGCGTTGCCAGTTTAGACTAGTGAATCCTGCCCTGGGAAAAGCGTTTTTTTTTTAAATTAAATGGGCACCATTCCATCCCATCCCGCAGAGAATCATTGCCTCTGATTGGAGCTACGTTGGGAAATATGTAGAAAGGGGAGCGGAATCAAATGGGGAAGGATAAGGCATCTCCAAGGAAGGCAACCTGCATATGGAACAGTGGACCTATAGGGAATTTTCAGAACAATTTTCTGGGTTTTCACTCAATGACTCCAGGGAGACTAGCCTTGTAGCCGGATGCTATCATAGATAATTTCCCCACCGGCTATTTCCAGTATCTTCTGAAGTTCCCCCAACCATTGTTCTGTCCAAATTATAATAACCAGGATGGGTTTTATGTCACTCCAGCAATGGCTGAGTGTGTTAGGAAGACAGTATAAAACACTAACGGGGAAATTATTTTAGTGAGAAGGCCCGCCGCAAAATGTAGCACCCGTAGTAATCGGAGCCTTGAGTGCAGTCCCAAAACAACTGGGGCAGCCCTTGAACACCATCGACATTGACAAAAATCCCCACCGGTCAATTGCAAAAGGCAGCTCGATTTGGAACGGCTTACATTCTGCGATGAGACCTTTCATATTATTAGGCAACATCTGCCTATATCAGAAGGGCTCGATAAAAATGCCAAATCCAGTCCAAATATCTGGCTGACTGTGCAACCAACCATAATAGCAATAATAACCAGAACACAACCTGGTCCAGATGCTCCCCATCAACCCTTTCCTGTAGTCCAATTATTCCTTCCTTCCTCTCTTTTTTTTTTTCTGGAGTCAGTGAGACACAGTTTGCCAAGGTGATTGACAGAAACCTACATGACGACACCATGCTCTTTAACAAGGTTAATCGAGGCAAACCTAAATGTCGGCACCATGCTCTTTAACAAGGTTAATTGAGGCAAAGAGGAAGGGATTTACAAGAATTCCAGCAATGGCTCTGTTTTCCATGGATAACCAAACTATTCTCTGATTACATGCAGGTAAAAACTTTCTGGTTTTCTAGCAGATCTTCTGCTTAGAACTAACCTTGTCATTGTCGGTGGACACCTACCTGGAAAAATGAATTGCTGCTTGTACTTGTAATAGTGCGAAGCTGAAAGAGTGAAAACACAGATTAGGAGGAGTAAGAGATTATCAGGGCTTCCATTCTGAATAGAACATAGAATGGGAGGCATGGGAGGGGCCTTAGAGGTCTTTTAGTCCAGCCCTCTTGCTCAGGGCAGGAGACCTTGTCCCATAAAGTATACCTGTGGTGTAAGGTTACATATGGTATAAAGCTAGGAAGCTTCTCCTTACTTCTAGGTTGGATCTCTCTCTTTGATAAACTTCCACCCTTTACTTCTTGTCCTGCCTTCAGGTGCCTTGGAGAGTAGGCTGTCCTCCCCCTCTTAGCTACTCCTGAGCAAGCCTGGCAGTTAGCACGAAAGAACCAATACAGACCGGTTATCTGGTCCAACACTGTCTTTATTCTTGGCGTTCTTTTCTGCCAGCAAGTCCCAGGAAGGACTGAGCAAGGTAACCCACATAAAGTCTGCACTGGGAGCGTCTGCCTCCCAGCGCTACTATATACCCTAATCCCACCCCCACGTGTTTCCATTATCCGCTCTGCTCCGGTAACCACCATCCGGTCACCGATAACGCGGAGCAAGCGGCCGTGATTCGGGAAGCGCCGTCCCAGCATCCCCGCCTCAGATGCTCGATCAGTGATCAGCTGGAGTCCTCTGTTGCCTCTGACAGTCCACTGTATCGCCACTGCTCACATGGAGGTCTGCAGCGCCCTAACAAGCCACCATAGTGCGTCTCGGGCTCCGCCAGCTGGCAGGCAATTGGAAGGTAGGCAGGTGTGGTCCTCTTTGGACTCCACCCCCAGATTCTGCCACTCCTTCCTCTACACTAGGATGGCTGGCAAGAGCTGGCTGCTGCACCTAATTGTGACCGAATGATGACTGAATACATCTCATTTACCTGGCAAATTGAACTGTTTTTGTTGCCGCGGGCACTGTGGGGAGGGGTGAAAGGGCGAAGGTGGCGTGGCGCTGGGCGGCAGGGGAGGAGCTGGTGAAGAAGGGGTGGATGACGTTGTCGAGGAGGGATTGCTGCTGGAATCAGGCTGGTAGGGCACTGGAATGTGATCCTACGAGAGAGAAAGAACAACAGTCGGGCGAGCTCTTGACAAGCGGGCCTGAAAGGTCTCCAGTTTGGGCTTCCCCAGAAGATCTACAGGTAGCCCTCACCTTGTGACCTTAGTTGGGATCAGAAATTGCATTGTTAGGGAAGGTGGTTATTCTGCAACGAAAGGTTAAAAGGGTGGGAGCAATCCAGAGATGGTATTCAGCTGGTTTGGATCAGTTCTGGAGAACCGGTAGCGAAAATTTTGAGTAGTTCGGAGAACCGGAAAAATCCCACCTCTGACTAGCCCCGCCAACCCCTTTTCTTTTCTGCCTCCCATTGAGTCCCAGCTGACCAGCTGGGTCTTCTTTGATTATCTTGCCCAGGAGAACGGAGCTGGGAAGCAGGTTAGTGGGATGGGGAGGGAATGGGGATTTTGCAGTATCCTTCCCCTGCCACGCCCACCAAGCCACGCCCACAGAACCGGTAGTAAAACCAATTTGAATCCCATCACTGGAGCAATTCCCACTTCCACTCATAGCGCTGGGACCACAACAAGAGAAGGAGATTCTCCTTGAACCTGCCAGTCAGAATTACCTGGCACACAAGGTCCGCAGCTGATCCCTTCTGCTGGAACAAGTAGAGGAACACATCCCAGACATCACTAAGTTTTTAATTCATTGAACCAGAGTAAAATCACCAGGCAAACCAACAGGCTCTCAACCCCAGAATGATCGGATCTCATTGGCAAATGTTCTTCTTTATTAACAACCTTGCCTTTGTAGCTGGGGGCGTAATAGAAGGCCAAGATCTACCGTCTTCCCCTTTCAAAAGGTTCCCATTCTCAGGCTGGTTTATACTTTATTCATTGCGCTTCAGTGTAGTAGCTTTATTCATTCTCATTCAAGCTACTGAGGATGCTGCTGTCATTAACTTTTTATTGGGATTGCCCACCTCCTGGAAGGAGTTTGGCTGTGGCTTTCCCAGCTCTGTGTGAGCCTTCCTACAAAAAGTCTCCAAAGCAAAATGCAAGAGAGAAAGAAAGAGAGGAAGAGAGAGAGGAAAAAGAAAGAAGGAGGGAGAGAAAGAAAGAGGGAGAGGGAGAAAAAACAAAGAGAGAGAAGAGAGAGGAGAGAGAGGAAAGAGAAAGAGAAAGAGGGAGGGAGAGAGAGAAGGAGAGAGACAGGGGGACAAAAACAGAAAGAGAAAAATAGAGAGAAAGAAAGAATGACAGAGAAAGAAAAAAGGGAGAGAAAGGGAGAAAAAAAGAGAGAGAGGAAAGAGAAAGAGGGAGAGAGAGAGAGGAGAAGAAAGAAAGAGGGAGGGAGAGGGAGAAAGAAAGGGAGAGGGAGAAAAACAAAGAGAGAGAAAGAGAGAGGAAAGAGAAAGAGGGAGAGAGAGAGAGAGACAGAGGGACAAAACAAAGAGAAAAATAGAGAGAAAGAAAGAAAGAATAACAGAGAAAGAAAAAAGGGAGAGAGAAAGGGAGAAAAAAGAGAGAGAAATGAGAGAGGAAAGAGAAGGAGGGAGAGAAAAAGAGAGAGAGAAAACAGAAAGAGAGAGCAAAATAGAGAGAAAAGGTAGTGGGGGAGAGAGTGGTGGGGGCAAACATTAGGATTTCTTTAACTAGATAGGAAGCTGCCCAGTTCCCAGCACATCTTGCCCATAGACTGAGCAATTCTCACTACGTGTTTGGGTAGTAAACTGCCACCTGGTGCTTCCTGGTAGTACAGCTACACCTGGGCAGCTGGAGAACTATAAGATCTTCGGGGGTGGAGAAAAGGGAGGCAGGGAAAGCCCACTGTGTCCCCTCTGGAGGATCCAACTTGGCTCCAGACTGATCCCCCCCATTCATCACTCCTCACGGGCCATTTAACTTAAAGGGGCAGGTGGGGGCATTTTGCGATCAGGTGCTACAGACGGGAGCTTCGCACAAGGCTGCACATCCTGAACGCAGCTCTCTGGGGCTCCTGCCTGCCAACTGTTTAATAACACCGTGGTGAATGAAGAGTTCCTAACGCTGGCAAAGAGTGCCTAGGAGTTGGCAGAAGAGGAAGGGAACTTCAAATTAATTGGGGGAAGGGGTGGGGAGGTACCCTCAGGCATGTCTCCATCTGTATCTCCCTTCTCCTTAACAGGGCAGTTCCTGCTTATTCACTCGCCCCCTTTCGCCCCATTTGGGGGTCAGCAAAGAGAGAAGTGGGCTTCTTGGGGTTCCACCTTGAAGTATCCAGATGTCGGAGTAATCAAAGAGGAAGCTTAAGGATCATAGAATCACAAGGCTAGAAGGGACCGTGGAGGTCTTCTAGTCAACCTCCTGCAAGTGGTGGGGTTCAAATTTTTTTACTACTGGTTCTGTGGCCGTGGCTTGGTGGGCGTGGCAGGGGAAGGAGGCTGCAAAATCCCCCTTCCCTCCCCACCCCACTAACCTGCTTTCCAGCTCCGTTCTCCTGTGCAGGGCAACCAAAGAAGAGCCAGCCGATCAGCTGGGACTCGATGGGAGGCGGAGAATAAATGGGGTTGGTGTGGCCAGTCAGAGGTGGGATTGGCCGGTTCTCCAAACCACTCAAAATTTCCGCTACCGGTTCTCCAGAACTGGTCAGAACCTGCCGAATACCACCTCTGCTCCTGCCCAAGCCAGGAGTCCTTACACCATTGATGAAGATCAAAGCCCAAGTTCTCCATTATCCAACAAGACCAAGCAGGTGTCAAGCAATACTGACTCCTGAAGTCTTAGTCCAGTGAGGTCCCGTTTACAGTCCAGACTAGAACTCCCAGTCTCCTGGTGACTGGCCAAGAGTCACCCAGCCAGCTTACATGCCTAAGATAAGACTAGAACTTACCATCTCCGGGGAATTGGCCCAAAGTCACCCAGCTGGCTTTCCTGCCTAAGACGGACCTAGATTTGCCATCCCTTGTCTTCTTCGATTATAGGCAAACATGCCTAAAAATGATCAAGTTTCCCAACCTTCTGCAATATGCCACTGCATCACATATGGTGCTTTGATTATACAAATCTAGGCCTACATAAAATAATTTGGCCCCCACCCACCCCTTTATCTTTTCATCCAGAGACACACATCAAAATCCAAGAAAGCCTTTTTTTTTTTGTAATCCCTCTCTCTCAAGCCACCTCTCCCTTCCTGGCCTGTCTCGGAGAAGCAGGACACAACTTAAAAACAATGCAAAGGTTACAGTTTTCTTCCGTTTAAAAGATGACGGGTGAGAATCCAGATTGCAGCCTAAACCACCAACGTCCACACGACGAGCCTAGAGCCTTCCTGGAAAAGTGCACCATCGTGCCTACTGTCCCTGTCCCGTGGTTCCCATTTAATCGTCCCTATTTCCTGTATTCTTACTCATATTTATACTTATACCTCATATCTTGTAAGCGATTGACAAACCAAATAAAGCAAATGAGTACATAAAAATAAAATAAAAATGGCAGCCTATAGTTGTCTATGTCTAGTTTAATTAAAAGAAGAACTAGGGGTGACATGATAAGCACTCTTCCAATATTTGAGGGGCTGCCCCAAAGAAGAAAGAGGTCCACCTATTCTCCAAAGCACCTGAAGGCAGGAGAAGAAGCAATGGATGGAAACTAATTAAAAAAAAAGAACCACGCTAGAACTAAGGAGGAATTTCCAATGAACCAGTGGAATGGCTTGCCTTCTGAAGTTGTGGGTACTCCAACACTGGAGGCTTTTAAGAGATGATTAGGAGACTGGAGACTAAAACACGATGAAGAATAGTTCTAGGAATTGGGTCTGTCTAGTTGAATGAAAAAAAGGACTAAGGGTGACAGGATAGCAGTCTTTCAATATCTGAGGGGCTGCCCCAAAGAAGAGGGAGTCAAGCTATTCTCCAAAGCACCAGAAGGCAGGACAAGAAGCAATAAGGATGGAAACTAACCAAGGAGAGAAGCAACCTATACTAAGGAGAAACTTCCTAACAGTGAGAACAATTAACCAGTAGAACAGCTTGACTTCAGAAATCATGGGCACGCCATCGTTTTTAAGAAGAGACTGGGCAGTCACTTATCTGAAATCATATAGAATCTCCTGTTTGGAATTGGACTAGAAGACCTCCAAGATCCCTTCCAACTGTTATTATGCTGATTGCACCAAAGGCAATCTGGTTTAAAGTCCACCCGTTCATTCGTACTGTATTGTTGCACGTTCCAGAAATGGAAAAGAGAGCGAAGCTGGGAAGTAGCAGGAAGAGGAAGGGGAGATTTAGACAAATGCCAGGCAGGTGGAATGCAAATTAGATGCAAATAAGGCTTAAAACTCTCTATTTTGAGCTGCTGATGTAGCCAGCACCAGGTTTTCACATATGACGTTCTGATGGCAGTCAAAACTCTGCCACTTTCTCAGTTTGGCCACTCTAACAAAAGCTTGGATGTCGGAAACCAGAAAAAGAAAGTACTGTACAAACCAAAATTCTGGGGAATGGGATTTTCCTAAGAGAGAGGAAAGTCAACTTGATCCAGATCTTCTACAAGTAGCTCCTCGATGTACAACCACAACTGAGTCCCAAGTTTATGTTGCCGAGTGAGACATTTGTTAGATGAGTTTTGCCCCATTTTACGCCTTTTCTTGCCGCCGTTACTAATCGCTGCAGCTGTTGAGTTAAGTCACAGTGTTAAGTGAATCTGGCTTCCCTGTTGATGCTTGTCGCAAAAGGGGATCACGTGACCCTGGGGACGCTGCAACCATCCTAAGTATGAGTCAAGTGTCTGAATTTTGATCATGTGACCGGGGGGGTGTTGCAGTGGTTGTAAGAGTGAAAAATGGTCATAAATCACTTCTTTAAGGGATGTTGGGACTTCGAACGGCCACCAAACTGTAAATCAAGAACTATCTGTAGCCTTTCTCACTTAGTATCGCTTTTGTCAGAATTCCAACAATCGCCCTAATTAAATGATGATTCTGGAGCCAAACTTCAAAAAGCTTCAAAGGATTCATTAAAGGCGACATACTAGCACTGCCCTGCATGAAGCCAACTCTGGCATAGGTAATTTACAGTCCCCTGTGACCTTGTTTCCCCCACTTCCTTCTGGGTGTGTCATAAATCACATTCTCCAATTAAGCACAATTCATGGGCTGGGTGTCATCAATCACGTTCTCCAATTAAATATATTCATGGGCAAAAGCTCTGGTATTTTAGTTACAATCTTTTAAAGATAAGATTTGGAATGTACTTTTGCTTTTAGCTGCTCTTCCAGATTTCCTTCCTCCCCCTCCCCCCTTTTTATGGCAACTATTAAAACAGGCATAGGAATGTTTTATGAGTTGACATTCGGCTCCTCTCCCTTCTTGAAGGTGGCTTACATAAAGAAGAACAAATTGAGTGCAGATATAGAATTTAGGGTTGCGAACCCCCTCTGAGCATGCAAGCGATTCAGACCTGCCTGGAGCCCTGATATGTGTTTTGAGACCCCCCCTCCTTCACTTCCTTTTATGCAAGATTTATAAAGCGTATAATGCTGCGATGCAAGCCAATCTTAGATCAGGTTATGTCCTGTCCTTTGATGCACTGAGCAAGAATAAATTCAGTTCCCTTACAAGAAAACATTGCAGCTGGAAACTTTTAGAATTCTTCTTAGGGGATTTCTATAAAATACTAAGAATCCAAGGAACCATTTTATACCCGGTTAGGCTATTGAACCACCAGGCCCAAGATGATAGTTGCTGCAACTGCAAAAAAAAAAAAAAGGGAAAAAAAGAGCCTGTTTGGTCTGTCTAGTGGTTAAGGCATCCCACTAGAAAGTGGGAGACTGTGAGTTCTAGTTCTGCCTTAGCCATGAAAACCAGCTGGGTGACTTTGGACCAATCACCAGGAGATAGTGAGTTCTAGTCCCGCTTTAGGTGTGAAAGACAGCTGGGTGTCTTTGGGCCAATCACTAGGAGACTGGGAGTTCTAGTCCCACCAAACGCATGAAAACCAGCTGGGTGATTTTGGGCCAATCAGAAGGAGATTGTGAGTTCTAGTCCCACCTTAGCTATAAAAGCTGGCTGGGTGATTTGGGGCCAATCACCAGGAGGCAGTGAGTTCTAGTCTGGACTGTGAGATGGGATCCCATTGGGCTAAGGCGTCTTGTCCCAACCCCCAACAGGTTTTGATTTCACATCGACCAGATTTGCTGGTATCTCGAGTCGAATTGGCAGGCGTGAATGGAAATCCAAGAAGCCATCTGCAGCGCTCTGGCCCACCAGATGGCTGAACAGACCAGCAAGAAAACAGGGATGGTAAGTAACTCAAAGCTGGAGGGGTGGGGGAGAGAGGTCTTGGCCAACTTCTTTTCTATTCCTCTGCACTTTTGTTGCAGACCTTGGTTGCCATGGCAGGCAAAGAAGGTGGTTTATTTGCTTACGTATACAGAATAACAGAGTTGGGAGGGACCTTGGAGGTCCTCTAGTCCAGCCCTCTGCTCAAGCAGGAAACCCTATATGCTATGTCAGGCGGATGGCTGCCCAGTGTCTTCTTAAAAGCCTCCAGTGATGGAGCAACCACAACTTCTAGAGGTGAGCCGATCCACTGGTTAATTGTTCTCACTGTCAGGAAATTCATCCTTAGTTCTATTTGCATCGAATTTGCATTCCACCTGCCTAGAATTTGTCTAAATCTCCCCTTCCTCTCCCTGCTACTTCCGAGCTTCACTCTCCTTTTCATTTCTGGAACGTGCAACAATACAGTACAAATGAATGGGTGGACTTTAAACCAGATTGCCTTTGGTGCAATCAGCATAATAACAGTTGGAAGGGACCTTGGAGGTCTTCTAGTCTAACCCTCTGCTCAGGCAGGAAAGTACATAAGTACCCAATACCATTTCAGACAGATGGCTGTGCGGCATCTTCTTAAAAGCCCACAACTTCTGGAGGCAAGCCATTCCATGGATTAATTGTTCTCAATGCCAGGCAATTTCTCCTGAGTTCTAGGTTGCTTCTCTCCTTGATTAGAACAGAATGGAATAACAGAGCTGGAAGGGACCTTGGAGGTCTTCTAGTCCAACCCCCCTCCCCCTGCTTCCACCCATTGCTTCTAGTCCTGCCTTCAGGTGCTTTGGAGAATAGCTTGACTCCCTCTTCTTTGGGGCAGCTCCTCAAATATTGGAAGGCTGCTACCATGTCATCCCTTAGTCCTTCTTTCCATCAAACTGGACACGGCCTTATCCAATCCTTGGCTGTCATTTTCCAGGAAAGGCCTGTGCTTGGCCTGTGGCAAAAACAGAGTCTGTGGATGTTTACTTCTCGCCTTGCTCTCTCGGGTGCTTTGGGTTGTCCTCCTCTTGCATATTGGAAGACTGCTTGCTGATTATTTTATTTGATTGATTTCATCTTATTTGTTTTACTTATTTCAGTTTATTTGATTATTTATGAAACGTAAAGGGGCGAGGTGGCTCGGTGGCTAAGACGCTGAGCTTGTCGATCAGGAAGGTCGACAGTTTGGCGGTTTGAATCCCCAGCGCCGCGTCACGGAGTGAGCTCCCGTTCCTTGTCCCAGCTTCGGCCGACCTAGCAGTTCGAAAGCACGTAAACAATGCAAGTGGAAAAATAGGGACCCCTTTGGTGGGAAGGGAATGACGTTCTATGCGCCTTCAAAGGCATTTAGTCCTGCCAGCCACATGACCACGGAGACGTCTTCGGACAGCGCTGGCTCTTCGGCTTTGTAACGGAGATGAGCACCGCCCCCTAGAGCCGGAAACGACTAGCACATAGGTGCGAGGGGAACCTTTACCTTTAAAGAATCAAAGGCTACATTTAGGCAAGGGGTTTATCTGAAAATGTATGATCTGTTTCCATCTGAACTCTGAAATCTTTTTTTTATTTATTTATTTTTGGCCAGACTTTTAATAACCCAATGGTATGACAGCCATGCTCCAACTAGTTCTGGTGCTTCTTAGGAATTTGCGGGCAGACAAGCAGAGTTCTGAATCCAAACCTTGGCGTCCCTTAATGGTTTAGTTCCGCAGTGGCTGCTGGCTGACACCTCCCCCCCCCCCCAGCCCCAGTGCAATTGGCCAGCTGCCCTTTGCCTCCCCAGTCACAGCTCTACGATCAAGAGCCACAAGCTGCTTTGGCAATGAAAAGAAGGGCCTTTTCCTGCCTTAAGACTTAAAACAGGATCTTAATTCGGTCAGGTCACTGTAAGTGCTTCTTTGGTGCCAGTGTTTTTTTTCCCTTTCTCGCTTCTTTGTGCTCAAGGTAATTCAAGCCATGGCAGAAGAGTGTTCATGGTAGACAGAAAGGGACGATTGTAGTTGATGCTGCAAACCTTGGCTTAAACAAAGTTGGCTTAGCCAAGTTATGAATCGCCTCAGCATCTTGAATTGAAGACGCGGTATAATCAACGTACTATATTCTTCCACGCTGGGCACACTTCAAACCCAAGAATACACTAGGGCAGAAGGCAAGGATAAAACACCCAGACACAAACTGAGCAACGTGGTATATAAGCAGTACAATGCAGTGAGCCCTGTGCAAATCTGTACATTGGGGAAACAAAGCAACCACTTCATAAACGCCTGGCGCAGCATAGGAGAACAAACCCGCCAGGACAAGATTCAGCAGTCCACCTGCATTTTAAAGACAAAGGCCACTCTTTTGAAGACAGCAAAGTCCAGATTTTGGACGGAGAGGACCGCTGGTTTGAAAGAGGGGTCAAAGAGGCCACCTGTGTCAAAATTGAACAGCCCTCTCTCAACAGAAGGGAAGGGAATACAACATCAACTATCTCCAGTCTACCACGTAGTCCTTTCAGCCGTTCCACACTCATTTGCAACACTCAGGTGACTCTGAGGACACAGACAAACCTCCAAGTGGCCTCAACGGACTCTCTAAAAAAGGATGCAAATGACCAGCTGTCTGCAGGGAGTAGAAATCCTTCCATTCCCCACCATCCATCAGTCCCAGATGAAAAAGCTTCTTGGATGAGAAGCGAAACATCTTCAAAAACTAGAAAGTCCAGTTGCCTCCTGGAAAAAGCATCTTTGGGGTTCTTCCACATCGGGAGGGGGAGAGGGGTGGGGATGAAGCCCCAGAATCCTAGAAATCTTATACAAGAAACACAAGATTTGCTAAATGGGTAGTTTCTGACTTAAGACAACAATTGGGGCCAGAATTTCCATCGCTAAGCAAAGTGGTTATTGCATGGGTTGTACCAGTGGTGGGATTCAAATTTTTTTTTACTACCGGTTCTGTCGGCTTGGCTTGGTGGGCGTGGCCATGTGACCGGGTGAACGTGGCTTTTTTTTTTCTGTTTTGCTTTTTTGCAACCCCCACCTGTTTTGGGGGGCCTTCTGGGCCTCAGAGGAGGTCTCACCTTGTTGATTTTGTTGGTTTTTGGGAGCGTCTGGCTGATGTGCAGATCTGAATATATGGGGGGTTTCCGTAGCGGATTGTTGATATCACATGGCACAGATTCTGTCCGGACTAATCTTGCTGAATCAAAAACAAAAGAGAGAAAGAAAGAAAGAGAAAAGGCTGGAGAAGAGGAAAATCAAAATAAAGAAAGAGGCGGAGCAAAATATTCCACCTTTGGCAATTGGTTATTTCATCGATGATTGAACCCACAACATTTTTTCAGTGCCATCTGGTAATTAAATTATTCCATTTAAAATTAGAAATGAGACTGTAGTGGCTCTTACCTCCACGGTGGATGATCAGCAGGTGACATGGTGGGGCCTCTTTGGTACATTTGTTGTGGCACTTTAGCCTGGGAGGAATCAAGCGGAAGAACAGCTGGTTTGAGGCTTGGCTCACGGAAAGTTGGACTTCAGAAACAGTCAGACTGCATTACTTTCCAGAAGGAGTGCAATGGGGTTTCTTTATATTTATTTATGTGACTTATGTCCCACCATTGTTATTTTTTTTATAAACAACTCGAGGGGAAGAACAGACCTGATATTCCTTCCTCCTCCTATTTTTCTCATCGTGATAATCCTGTGAAGAGGGGGGGTTAGGTGGAGAGAGAGGGATTGGCCCAAAGTCACGGAGCCACTTTTCATGCCTAAGGTGGGACTAGAACTCCCAATCTCCTGGTGATTGGCTCAAAGTCACCTAGC